TTAAAATTTTAATAAAATAATTTATGTGATAATTATTTTTAACTTAATTAATTTTATTTACGCGAACAAAAAACAATACATCCATTATGATAATGCCGTATCGCATTAAGTAGATAAAAAAAGTGGGCATTAAATAAAACATGAGTAGGATTGGAATTGAGTTGAAATTTAAAATCAAATCTTATCATTAAATTAGGATTTTGATAATAATAAAAAGGGAAGTACTGAATATTATAGTTGTACCAACTAGGTGGGGGAATAATTGATTACTCTAAAAATCAACACTTTTAATATCTACATCTAATAATTTTTATCAATTAATACAACTATTAAATACTTGAGCAATTAATACATTTATTTTTTTATAATAATTTATGAATTTAAATCCTACTGTATTTTTTTTTCCATGTATCATCATTTAAAAGTATTTTTATTATGTTATAATTTAGCGCCGTAATTTATAAACTGTATGAATTTATATATTTATTTTTAAAATTTTAAACAATTTTCTTTATGTTTAATTCTCCAAAAAATTTAAAGAAATGAAAAGAATTAAAAAATTAATTGAATGTCTGAGTAAATTCATTTACCAGTACTTATTATTTTTCAACCAAATAAGTGAATAGATGATAGATATTCTGTAATATCCGGATCTAAAAATTGATCCGAGATAAATTTTAGCAATTTTAAAATATAAAAAAAATTTATATATTAATTTCATTTAATTTTTATTATATTTAAAAAAAATAAATTTGGAACAATATTGAAAATAATTTTTAAAAAAATAGGTAAAAATTGAGTTTTGGGATATTTTTGAGAAAAATTAAAAACAGGAGGGTCAAAAGTGGCAAGAAAAATTTTTTGACCATGTAGGACCGCCCAGTCAGCAACCTCGACGAATCAGAGTGCGCCGCGTGGCAAGGCACAACAGTGCCACGTGGGAGGCCACGCTGGCGATCAGCGTGCCCCCCGGTTGGACAACCCCAGATCGATCCCACGCGCGTGGACGATTCAAATATATTTTTTCCTTAAGCACGATCGAATGATCGAGATCAAATACGATGAACGGTTCAGATTCGTTTTCTCTTTAAGCGCGATCAAACAGACGAGATCAATCGCGATAGACGGTCCAGATTAACGCATGATAGGTATAAATATCTCGCATCACACAAAACCAGAACCCGAGCCACCAGCCCCCTTGTCGGAGAAGAAAGACCATATGCTGGAGAAAGAAGGCGACCGCCAACCGCCGCCGCATTGGAGTCACCTCCAACCGCTAAAAAAGGTAAAAATTCTCTTACTCGATCGGAATTCGATTCAGAGCATCCCTGTGGCCATATCGAGCAAAACGGATGGCAGGTGAGCCAAAAACTGCGGGCAAAACCCAGCGGGGCCGCAGCGGCCCAAAACTCGCAACCTCCTCTGATGAACCCCTTCCTGATTCTTGTTTTGTTATTTTTTTACCATTGTATTCACCGTTCTGTTTTATGTAAGTTGACCGAATGAGGAATCCCAACCGCGAATGAGAGCCGGCAGAGCTGCTACACCCAGAAATCTCACCACCGGTAGGTTTCAGTTTCTTGATTTTTTCGACCAACTGAGGTTTACTAATGTATTTTTTCGCAGGGATACGTATAAAGTCGGCCGAAATCGACCTAAACTGACCAAAAACGGTCAGGTCGAGGCAACCGCTGCTACAGACGGTGGTGTCATCGTCGGAGTACAGCACTGTCGCCGTGCTAGAATTTTAAAATTAGCCGAAAGATATTTTTAACATCGATTTTGGATTTTTGGATATTTTTTAGGTATGTGAAGTGTGTTTAGTCTCCGCATAAAAATTTAGAAAATCCAGGAACTGCCAGGAGGTGCGGTAGAAAGTACGGTATTTCGGACACCAATTCGAGTAAGAATCTCTCACCATATTCCTTGTTATGGAATTGAAGCTTAATAATCAACAATATGGTATTTTGTAAAGTTTAGAAAATTTTGGGAATAATTACAAGTTATTAATAAAGACGGAACCGGTTAGTTATTTGTTTGTTATGTTTAACTGATTATTTACTTGTACAGCTATATTGAAATAGTTAAATAATTCAGTTGTATTTTCTTAATGCATATATCGTTTGTTTTGCGTGATTTACGGTTGATTTGTGAAATTTGAAATTAATATACAAATAAAAAATTGCTTGATTATGTTAATTAATAAATGGTTATCTTACTAGATATCTTAAAATATGGTAGATGGACCGGATACATAGAAAACCTTACCGTGAATGTTACCTCATACCGGACGGGATATTAAGGGATTATATTTTTGGCGCTCATACCGAACAGGGTATGGATACGACCCGATTTACCCTCATATCGGATAGGGTATCGAGGGATAATATTTTTTCCACTCATACCGGACGGAATATGGAGACGACCAGCTAATCGACAAGTTTAGATATTTGGTTCACGTGTAGGAAGACATCCCTATGAACCCCCAAAGGTACTAGTAAATAGATAAAAATGAAAGTTGTTGTTTTTGCCCACTTGTATAATAAATTATAATGTTATTTGAGTTATTATTTTCATAAGTCGATTTTGAAAATCTCATAACGGTAAATATGTAATAAATGATTTTTCATATAATAAATGAACTTACTTAATTTAAGAGTTATATTAGTCATTTTATATATTTTTTTTCAACATTCAGTTTCTGTATCGGTAAGTAGTGTGATATTCTTATTGGGTTAATGTAACTCACTTATATTAACCATTTCAAATCAAAAAAATTAGGATCTAGATCCTAATTAACATGAAAGCAGTGAGTAGCTGTTTTCCGGATCCTATCAATAGCTAGTGGAGTTTAACCTCCATATAATATTTATTTATTATTTTTATATGTTTATTTTATTTTTTTATAAATCGTTATGAAAAGAACATTTCTGTAATCTTATTGGGGCATTCTAATTTATATGTAAAGAATGTAAATCCTAACGTTATTATACGATTCCATATATTTAATTTAAATTTATTTTACAAGAGTTTTGGGGTCTTTACATATTTTTACTATTTTTCTCAATCTTATTTGTAATTCAATATAATTCAATTAAAAAAAACTATAA